TGGTTTCTTCCTCAGCAAGGTACCTCCATCTCAAGCTTCTGAAGGCTTGACTCGCCCTCGACTTGAGCTGGTTGATAAGCAAAGCGGGCTGCGATTCTACCATATAAGTGATTCCACACGTCTCTGCTCCGTAATGCCAAAAATTCATACGGGGGTGGACAAATTAATATCGAAATGAAACGCCGTTTTACAGAGATATCTGAGATATTATTGCTCTTTCAGCATCCCTTGTTGGATATCACCGGAATACGACTTTGACACCCTGTCTACTGCGGTATTGCTATCACGAATGCAAGCATATCGCCGGCAAAGGTCAACCAGTGTCGTTTCTAAACTTCCCTTCTGAGACTACCAGTACCAACACAGACAACACTCAATAAGAGTATTTGGTGCAATGCAAGAAACATCAGCAGCCGCGAGTCTAGGAAGCCAACATAGCCCTCTGGGTGCTGCGTACTCCTGTGAGAATAAATGACTTGCGTTTACCCGTGGTGCTTAAGCTGCATCTCGCTCGCTTGTTCTTCTCCAGGTATCCGCTCGTGGAACGACCCACCGCTGGATAAGAATGGCTTTCTCTTCTATCGCTAAGAATAATGCGCCGAGATGACGGCGGGCTGAACGCTTAATGGCGTCTGTTCGTCTCGAGGCGGTTCGAGCTAGTGCTCGTACTTGGCGCCCGAATCGATAGATCAGCTGTGTTGCTTCGGCGCAATGACCCCAGCAGAGCAACCCAACCGTTGTTGGAAGCAGTATAGACGCCTGTTTCACCCGCGTCTTACCCCAGCAATCGAGGAAAGCCACGAACGTGGACGACAGCCACCACCGTAGCCACCGTTCAAGACTAAGCTCCTCCCGTATCCTGGCGCGTCTGTCTCCGTCACCTAAGTGGTCCAAAGAACCGCCGAGCAGCGAGTGAGCTGGCATCACGTCCTGGGCTACAGCGTACGAGTACTTTGCAGAGTATTGCTACTGCTACTAGCACGAGTTTGTATGAGTATGCATAAGCTAACGAGAGTCTAGCTATTCCCGCTAGGAAATCTGAAGCACTTACAAACGCCACAGCTCATTTTCCCGTCGATCAGTCCAACATTGCAGAGGCGGGATATGAGGAGTAGCTTCTTTTACTTTTTAGCTCTCCAGAGTGCTTCAGCCATGGCGGAAAGGTTCGGCGCGCTCATAATCTGCCTTTAGTGAGTGCTTGGCTAGGATTCAAGTCGCCCAGCATCGTGTACGAGTACCAAAATATGGAGTAAACGAAGCAGTCATCTCCGATTATCCTTTCAGACGTATAAGGCGTTTTACATCGGCCGATGTGCTCTTTATGCCCGCCGCATCCAATGCAGAATTGGGAAAACTGCCCGCTTGCTTGGGCACGTTTTTGATAAGTGTGGGTAATAACCTGCCTGTGAGGTGCATGTCACTAACACCCCCGGCTTGGTTTGGATGGTACAAAGATTGGGTGTCTTGCAGATAGCGATCATCACACTCGAGAGGCAAAAAGAAAAGAAAATTCTGCATATGCCTGCAGCGAGATATCCGGCCTGTCTGGCTGCAACTCTGACCTCCCATTCCGCGTGGAGCTGGCTTATCACGGGAGAGGCCGTCCATCGCGAAGTGGCTTGAGCGATCGACTAGCGAGATTTTGTTGAACGAGGGATCCGCTTCTCCACTGCTTTATGGCCAGGAACCTCTTCTAGCGTCTTCGTGAACCCTTGCTCCATGCGATCATGTGCCACCGTTGCTGGCTGGTGGCGTTTCGTTTCACCTTCTTGACACTCTTGTCTCTCTTCTTGCTGGGTCAAACAGCACTTGGGTGAAAGTGTGGAGAAGCTTTTGACAATTATGGAGTAGGAACCGGGGCAATGAATGACGTGCGGGAAGGGAAAGGAAAAAAAGAAGATTAAAAAAAAAGAGGGAAGCAAAAAGGGGGCGATAACACGCATGAATTAGAGAGAGAGAAGACTCCTCTACATTCTTCCTCCACTCACCGCTAATTCTAGCGAGATTCGGCCTTCTTTCTTTCCCACCTGCTCACCCTTGCTTTGGTGGTTAGCATTTTTTCCTGTGGCAAAGTGGTTCTTGGAGCTTGAGAGCACGCAGAATCTCCCGCACACCATTGATATTTTTCTCGTCCTCGCGTGCCACGTCTGCAAGGGGCGCAAGCTGACCCTTGCTTTCCCATGCAACCTATCAAGATGGCTATCAGGCGACGGATTTAAGAAAAGCTCACCCGTGCCGTCCATCCCGTTTCCAAGACTCTTGGAGCTGAAAGAGAGCTTGGAAAGAATGGTGGGCATGAGTGCCAGCACATCAAACATTTCTCATCAAGTGAACAGCCACGGTGCGGCAATTGAGGGATTGGCCAGTCAGGGACAAGCTCACTTGCAGCAAGTTGGGGGGTTAATTAAACTGCTTCCTCGCGTCCCGCACCATCCCACACCTGCGCCTCCGTGCTCTTTCTTGCACGCATCTAATCCTTCTGCCGGAAGACATTAGACCACCGGTTGAGGCGGATAAACAGAGGAGATCTGCCGGGTGGCATTTCGTTTAGCAGCAGTGCTTGCAGCGGCTTGGGATCTTGAAACCAGAGTGACGGAACATATGGATACTTTGATATGGCTAGTTCATGCTCAAATCGAAGAGGCCAATGATAGACAGCCGTTTATAACAGGTGCTTCCCGGCTCATCCATCATCACGGCCTCCCAAATTGCACCATCCAAGGTTAAGACATTCTTATCGTTTTGCTTCGAGAAACTTTTCATCAGAGACATTGGTGAGATTAGCCGTACATGAGCTAGTCGCTCCATCGGCACACTTGTAGTCTTACGGCGCAAAACTGTTGATTCTATTTTTAATCTGCGCTGTCCCTTTTGCCATCTACAGTACAGTACGAAGTGGTAATGGCACAAATTCTCGCGGGGGTGCTCGGAGGATACAAGTCTCATGTTGATAGACACATTCGTGTCAATCAGGCTTGGCCCGCTTTCCCCCACAATGCCGGGCCATTGCGAATGGTCAAAACGCTCAAGATGAAACCTTCTTCTTGTCATGCATTCGTTTCTTACAGATATGATCCCAGCACGTGGATTTTGAATTTTGCACATCGGAGTGTCGCATTTACATGATACAGACCGGTATATACGGATGCACACGGAGAATTACTCCCTTCGCACCTACGATTAAGCCGATCTTTGTGATTCTTTGGTGTATTTTCATTTCGGTGGAACTTGATGATTATATTCGTTGCGGCCGTCAATTTAGCACGTAGCACTCAGAGACGCGGCCGTTTCTAATGGGGACGAGTCCTGTGAATTACTCGTTGACGATATCCACCATGGAGCTTGAATTGTCATCAGCGCCGTGCACAGCCCCATGTAAAAGAAGTAAAGGTCAGTTTCCCCTCCAAATACGCTGGAGCTATTGGATTATATTTCCATTTTTAATTTCCCCCAGCTTGAAGCTATTATACTTATACATTAGACTTATATGATGATAGTGTTATTCGACAATGGCCGGCGCTGGCTGTCCGATAGTACTCATACTGTACGTGGACTGAACTGAACCCAGCGGCCTATGTGCAACGGCTAATGAAGTACTGCAATAAACCGCCGTATCTATATGCCGATAATCCTTCAAGCTCAAGCAGAGCAGGGGCAAACTGTGCTAATGCAATAATGTTACGAGTCTTTTGATGCATAAACGCTTGCGTGCCTCAAGCCCAATCAGAGAAGCCTCTCATATGTGTGGCTGTCAGAACCACAGAAGGATGAAGCGGCCCTAACGCAAGCTCTGGAATGCGCGTGTAAGAGCTGCATCTAGGGAAGTTGGACGCAAGCCGGCCATTGGTTGGTGAGCGTAAGAGCCTCTTGGATAATACTGGTAAGCCTCAAAGCTGGACCTCCCCGAAGGAGCCTAAGGTTCGTCGAGGAAATCGTCGGTGAGCCAAGCTGGCTCCCAGCTTACTTGTTTCATGTCGCGTGTTGGATTTTCAGCTGTGCGAAGCATGTGAGGGGAATTTTTGTGATTGATCAAGACACTTGAGCTATTGAAGCAAGGTGAGATGGATGCTGACACGAAGCATTAGGCAATCTGCACCGAGATGCGTGATGGGGAATCCAGTTCGTACACCAATACTCCTCTTGAGCAAGATTGATGCCTGTTTCGTCTCGCCCATCCCGCATCACGACGTCCGGACGCCGGCAAGAATGGGCAATTGGTCCTGACCTATGTTCCTCCATGGTCCTTCTTCCCGGCGACATTCAAATGCCCGAGCCTTCTTTTTCGTTCCCGGTATACTTTGCGCTAGCATCCAAGCCTGCAGTAGCAGTGGCATTGACGCCGAAGAGATTCGGCATCACCCAACAGCTATACCTACGACGCTGCCAATTAGTCACGGCCAAGCAGCCGTGAATTCAGCTGGCCGCACACACCACTGCTAGTCGATCCAAGCGCCGGCTTCCCCCTCAATCCTCATTTCTTCTTCTAGTCAAGTTTGCGGAAGTCATCGCCGACCAAGGGCAGATCGCACCGGCTCCTCTGTGGCCTTTGTTGTAAGCCGGCTCTGAAGCCATGAGTGTTGTCGAGTATCAAGGGATGATCCGAGGGTAGGATTCGTGTTGCATTGGTGCAGATGACGTGTAGAAGAAGTAAGTTTAAGACTAAACTAGATGAACAATTCACAACAAGGGGGGACGTTTGAAGGTGTCCCGGGAGCTGAAGTTTGGGGGCTATTGTATCGAATTGAGTGACCCCGTGCAGCTGCTTCGGACCCGAGTAAAGTCAAAGCTCTGCCCGAGCAACTGTAAGCGAGGTTTGGGGTGTGTAAAAGGAGCATCATGTGCTGAATGATGATACAAACTGTTATACGAGTTTGTTCGTCTGATGGGTATCAAATGACACTCCCAATGTTACGACGCTGAACCATCTTGTTTTGTTCAAACTTTCACGGCCGTAGGAATAAGATTTGGGATAGCTGCCCAGGTTAGCATGAAATACGATTGGTTCCGTGGTCTAGTTGGTTATGACATTTCGTTAACACGTTTAACGCCACCGAAAAGGTCCCCGGTTCGAGCCCGGGCGGAATCACCATTTCTTTTTTTGCATCCATAGCATACGAGAGTGTGTTTGGTTTCTTTTTTGTCTTTGTGACTGTAGAACTGAAGATCGTCTTCTCTAGCTGAATGGCCTGCTGACGGCATGAAACACAACATCGTAGGAGCGTAAACTCATGTCGTAAAGCGTATCTCGCCTCCGTGGCTAATATGAAGGAGACAGCTAGGCATAAGCTTAACAAAGCCATAACAAAAGTCTATCTATCATTCATGTAGGGGAATGTTCCAATTCTCCCAAACCCATCTGTGAAACACAGAAGCAACAAATCCTTCACAAGTACCGCCACACCCTTTCTCCAACACTCAAGGCAAAAGCTTAGAGATCGTGCATAAAACCGACCGAACTTTTGGATCAGGAATGACAGTGTTGTCAAATAATGACATGGCGTAAAAGATGGCCGATTTACCCGGATTTCTGCAGTAATCGTTCCTAAGGGCAAAGCATTAGCCAAAAGGGTGGAGGGAAACAAGAACCGGGTCAAGGAATCAAGACAGGAACTTACGAGAAGAGTGTGCAGGAAACATAATAAGGGCTCGGTGGCACCTCGAGTTTCACTGAGTTCACCATGCCGATACTGCAGACTTGTTAGTACTTTGATTGGATGAAGAATTGGGATCTAGGAGGTAGGATAACATACACATTGGCGGGGAGCTGTACACAATCGTCGACTCTGTCTACGACGTAGGATTGTCCTTGGAAGTTTGGCTCGGAATAGATCGTTGCCTTTGTTAACTTGTTAATTCTTGTCACTGGAGGATGCATATGTGCATGTTGATAACGGCTGAGGAATTCGAGAGGAGAGAGAACTCACCAGTGGGCCGATGGGGATGGTTAGGCCAACTGCAACAGTAGCAGAGGCTACAATACCTAGAAGCAGCTGGCTGGGATGCATATTTGATATTGGATGTAATGAGTAAAATATGGGTGATTTTAGATATTCCAGAATATGCAAACAGGGACACAAACCCCCTTCCCTTTTCGAACGACCGTGGGACATATATATATGGCTCTGTATCAACTCTGCCCAATTTTCTCTTTTTGTGTTTCACACGTCATGTATGCTTCCATGATATCTGTAAACTGAACCAGCAAAGCTTCATCGGTTTGAATGGCCGCCAGAGACATAGTATTGAGCGTTCGTGCCATGTGATCTCTCTTGGAATGTTCCACCAACATACTTGCTGTTTAACACTTGGCCACCGGTTTGCATTTAATCCACTTCTTTCCACTCCTTGTTGTCCAGTGTGCTTTTCTTATTCCAGTCCATTCAACTCCTTTACTATGACACCAAGAAACCGGGCGTCGAGCTTATACTAACCTTGGGTTTGACAATTGACGCATGTAAGGCTAATTGGATATGAGGATTCCGCGTAAAATATGGTCTAAGCTTGATAAACATTAGACTCAATACATAAATACATACAGTCAAGAGATATATGAGATCAATGTCAGTCATGTTGAAGTATGTAGCAAGTATTTATCTCTTCCACTCGATGCGTCAAATACTCAGGCTGTAAACCTCAGTTCCCCCAATCACAAGCACGCGAGTTTGCCACACTCATTTTCTCTCTCAAAAGAACAGTAATCGTAGGGGTTAGAATCACCCCATAGGAATGAATGCAAAAGCCCCTGACAAGGGATGTGGCAGCACCACCGTCCGCTCCTAGCGATACTTGCAGTACACTGATCGGCTCATCGAACTTGCAAAGTTCTTAGGGCTGTTGGTATTTGTGAATAATTCGATGTGTGGAGCGGTACAATTAGCATCACTTTCGAAGCACATGATATTAGTTAGCTATAGAAGATGAAAACACATTATTGACCGAATATCTAAACTCACGAGTATAAAGTGCAGACTACAGGAAACGACCCATGCGTCTGTCCCGACGCAATCTGGCCATATCTTCCAGTCCTTGTCCATTAGCAGGCATTCATTAGGCGTAGGTATACAATATCCATAGCTGCAATTACCCATTATCTGGTAGTCTTAAGCACTCGTTGAGGGACCAAACACCCAGCCTAGCCCCCGATAGATCTCGCCCGCTATGTAATGATGCCTTGCCTCTATATTTAGTTATGATGACTGTAAAAGGACACAAAACTCTCCCATAATTTGGGAATAAACTTACATATTCCGCAGCAGCTACAACCCCAGATGCCGCTAGGATACATGAAAACACCTGGGAGAGATACATGATAGCAGCTGTTTGATGGGGATCAAAACTCAAAAAAGGAGCAATTCTAACTTGGTGGCTGTTATAATTAGGGAGAGACAATGTCTTTTGCATAGGAATGCGAGATATACATACCTACTCCGCACAGGCAGGCTTTATAAGCTACAGTTCTTTCTCTTACTCTCAATGTCTTACATGACGTTATTTTGCGGGAGATATTCACGGATAGACCAGCGAGCCATCGGGACTGAATAGCACCCGAGACACGTTATGTGGAAACCCGTCGGATACTCTCATTCTTCTCATCTCCTGATTTTATACATCACGGTTCAAGATCACAGTTATGTAGCTCAGCGAAAAGTCTGAAGAATATGAACAGAATAAGTTGTTTGCGAAGATCATGCAGAGATTCACTTGGCAATGTGCAAGCGATTGCACAGCTGGGAGTATACACTGAATTGGTGCAATCAAGTAAACGAGTAACTCGCACTCCATCATCTCTTCATCTTCTCGTAAAAATTATGTCATTCCAGGAGAGTCTTATGATAAACAAACTGCCCTCTCCCTCGTTATACAACCGCCAATTGGGGAAAGCGGTGTCCCATTATATCCCCAAACAGCGACAGCCCACGCGTTGGCTATAAAATCGCCCTTCCCGGCCAGATATTATTTCTGAATCTCTTTACAGAGGACCGACCGTACGTCAGTATTACGACGGATGTTGACGGGGCTGTTGGATGTAGTAACGTAGAATATAGCAGTACCCTCGTCGCAGGTATTAGTCCTAGAGATGGGAACAAGCAAGAGATGTCATGTTAGCTAAGAAAAGAATGATGTCGCATATTTGGCTTAACCTACGAATATAGAGTGCAAAACCTATTAGGGGGTGAATCTGGCCACAGTTTCGCTGACTGCACATGACCATAGCTGTATTTTGCAAGTTAGAAACCTCACAGGGTTGGATTCCAAGACAGTCTTGGAGAAGTACATACAGAGAGCCAGTGACCTTTACGCAGGTGCTCCTGCTCCGTACATCAAATTGGTCTCCAGTCCAGCCAAGATCACGATACAGTGTTACCTTGGGAATCTTTTGTTAATACGGATATAGTAACATTGACATTATACAGTAAGAAACGAAAAACTAACAAGGGGTGCCACTGGAATCTCCTCAGCGGGAGCAGCAGCGACACATGTCGCCAGAACACAGAAGAGAAGATTGGATAGAAGCATAGCTGCTGGTACAAGAAAAAAAAAAGATAGAGTGGTAAGGTCTCAGGTTTTGCTCTTCAGGTAATGACGAAAGACACGTTTATATCGTGGGGGTAGAGTTAGAAGAGAGAGTGCGCGAAACAACAAGAAAGGGGCACACGCCCTTGTCATCTATATGTATATTTATATGCATGTACTTTTTTTCATCAATCTACACTTGCTCCTTCTTCCAAGTCATGTCTCAAATTACGCTGGCCATGGATCGGATACATCGACAGAAACGCGAAGGGTGATGCTGCGGAGTTGCGGCTTCCGAGACATATTAGGTGAGAAAGCTCAGCTCCCTTACATGTACTTTGCAGCTATCTTCGTCCTCCCTTGCTAGGCAGCTAGTTGGTTGCTCTCCGAGCTCATAGTGCACTCATCCCTCTCCCTTTTTTTGAGACAGAAGTTAGCTAAGGTTTCTCCCTTTATCTTCCGTCCTCATATAAACAGGGGGAAGGTATATTTTTATCCAATTAATTTAGAGGGAAGCATCTAGCTCACTCTAAATATACAATTGAGGGGTGAATGAAAATACTCTAATACGGAAACATCATATCTTGTCATTTACTCCGACGAAATCATGCCAATTTTACAAAACACCGACTTTAGTTCGTAATCATCATCAAGCGAACTGCCGAAGTCTGAAACGTGGCATTTTTCAGTTCCCGGCTCACAGCCATCCGATCTTCGCAATAAATAATAGCTGCAGAAGAGGTCGTTGAAGAAGCTACCACCAACGCGTAGGAGATCAATAGCATGGAGTGCATAGCCGCGGCTTGCTTTGGAAACTACAGAGGGTCTACACGAGTTGATTCAGTACTGGCGTTTTCAGGCTTTCATTTTGCAAATAATGGCATTCTCTGCATTGATATGACGATGTCATCGTATAAACGATTGTATGATATTATTCAGCAGTCAACACTGCCAACGAAATCCAACATACCAAGCAGGCGCATTTCCCTCCTCGGCATTGTAGCAAGCTTAAAAAGATCCATGTTATCCATCCCAATTTCCTTCCCTTGACGCCGATACTATGCAGAAGCAAACCTAAGCTACCAAAGCAACATGACCATGAACTATCTATCATTAGAGGGCTGGTCCTCAGTCAAAAACTCCAGCTGGGCAGACGGATCGTCCACCCCTGTCAACAGATTATGTGTATACTCATTCGCCAGGCTGTTCCCGGCCGTCCACTCGTTGCGGCGCCTGTGAATCTCATTCATACCCTGACACGCCGTCTCGGCAATATAATGCAGCTCATCGAGAGTGTTCGGATTACAGTTTGTGAAGACGCCGTCGATGCTCTTCTGCCATCCTGACGTGGTGTTTTCCACGGCAGTCTGATACGCGTTGGTATCATAGTCTATCACTCCCACAGCCCCCGGTCTGTCTGTGACTCGGTGAAGGAGGTAATCTTCTCTCGAGTCTTGAGGCAGGTATTCAACAGGCTCTCCAGATGGTGTAGGAGGCTGGCGAATACCCATGACAACTTCAACAAAACGCTGGGAGAGGCTGCGAGCGAGGCCACAAGGGTCGACGAGGTCA